AACTTACCATTGGCATCTAAAATTTCAATGGAAACATTTGATGTTGACACAAACTTGCCATCTGTTGCTACTATTTGCAGATTGTAATGAGGAACCCCGTGAAAAACGAAACGTATATGTGCCATATATTTCCCATACAAGTCCCGTATATGACCGGAAGATGCTGTATATGTTACATATACAGTGCCATATATGTGGACATATATGCTACCATATATGGGCTGCATTTACTATATATGGGAGAAATTCGACGTATATGGGGGTAGTCTGCCGTATATGGGTTCATTTTGTGAACATATATGTCATCATATATAGGTTTGGAGCACGCATCTATGTCGGAAATTCGCCGTATATGGGAAGACATCGGCTTTTATGGGTCAATTTCGTGGACAAAATTGTCACAAAATCACAATTTTTGTGAAATTGTCCACAATTTCGTGGACAATTTGGTCGACCGATCGTAATGCTCTAGCCTGATTTAACTTTAAGCCACAGTAATTAATATAACGACACATCGATTGAGATAGTTCTGATTTCCGCCGCTAGATGGCTCTCTAATATAAAAAGAACATTTTACAGTCTTTTCTAACGTAAAATTACGTCAAGGACAGTTTTGGTCACGATTTTAACTGTGACCCTCTTAGGAATGACCTCCCTGATGCTATGCACACTTGTATTTTAACATACACCATTCTGTGTCATGAATAATCGTTATTGAATTTTATTCTCGCTGCTGATCAGAAACCGCGGTTTAATGACCCCTAGGCGCCGTTTCCTCCGTGTGTGTGAAGTATACACCACGTACTTCGCAGCGGAAGTGAAATTTTTGTAAAGTGTTGAATAAAGTCCGTCCGGGCTTGACGCCGCACATCGTTGGAGTTCTCACTCCAATTACCCATACTTGGTGAAAACGAATCACGATAGCCCTCCTCGGAGAATACTGTTTTTTTTTAGCTTTCTGTTGCCTCTTAACGATCCACAGCGAAGTACTTTCATTGACTGCACCCTAAATGCATCCACCAAGGTACGCAAACATTTGTCACTAGGGAACTTGAGGAATTATATGGCACTGACCACACGGCCCATATATGAGACAGATCATGAAATATATGTGCCATACATGGCGTGGCGTTTATGGCCAATATATGGCCGTATATGGCAATATATGGGATATATATGCACAAGTTATATGTCAAATATATGTTTGAGCGCGTCCGGACATACATGGCGCCATATACGTGCCGTATACAATTTTTTTTTCACGGGAACAGTTTCTCTGTCCAAAGGGCGCACGACATACACTTCTCCAGTGGAGCGTACTGATAACTGTGAGGCAGGATCACCGGACACAAT